CTAAACCCAAGCCCTACTTGGAGGGTCGGGAGACTTAGTAAGTAGGGAATAAGTAGACTTGTAAGTACCCTAAACGGGACCTTAATTGGGGTTATAGTACTTATAAGTCTATAAAATAGCCATTTACTAAGTCCCCCGACCCTCCAAGTAAGCCCTACCCAAGCCTAAAGCGCTAAACCCTTTGCCTAAACCCTGGGCCCTGGCCCCTAAACCCTATAAACCCTAAACCCTTATAAACCCGAAACCCGAGCCCCTAAACCCTGCAACGTCCTTGTCAGGCTATCAGCCCCTAAACCCTAAACCCTGAACACCATACACCCTAAACCACCCAAACCCGAAACCCGAAACCCTAAGCGTTGCCTCCGCGAAGGCGGCGGCGGCACTGCTGGCTGCCCAGGCGGACGTGGACCAGAGACACTTCGATTGGACTGTGGGTTTTAAAGCGTCCTTAGGGTTTCGGGGTGTAGGGGTTTAGGGGGTTTAGGGGTTTAGGGGGTTTGGGGTTTATGGGGTTTAGGGTTTCGGAGTTTAGGGTTTAGGGTTTGGGGGTTTCGGGTTTATTTAGTGTTTATGGGGTTACAGGGTTTGGGGCTTCGACGTCTGGTAGATTCCACCACGAAACGCTGTTAAAGGACTATGACTATGAGGGGTACTTGGAGGTTCATGGGTAGTCACAAGTGGGGTTATAAGTCCCCTAACAAGGGTTATAATTCTAGTCACCCTACTTATAAGCCTAATTATAACTACCCATGAACCTCCAAGTAACTCCCTCCACTTCCCAGGGTTCGGGGTTGGGATCCTACGATTTGGTCTCTGCAGACATATCGTGTTTATCAATCAGGGGTCTACATTACTTGATATAACATTCGCCCTAAACCCTAAACCCTAAACCCCTAAAACCTACTAAGGGTGCCATAAGGCCAGCTGTAAGGGGTCTTTTTTTTCTGGCGTGGAGTTGACTTTACAGTTGCTGTAGGAGGTGCTGTTTTGGAGCTTAAGCGGGAGCTCATCTGACCTGGGTGTGTGAGGGTTCAAGGGTCCATATAGCCGACTTCAGTGCATGCCCCTGACTGCTGGCCACCTTAACATTGAACCCAAATCGGCTTCAATGTACATCTGTATATTCCTTAAGCGTTTCTGGGGGTTTCTGAATGGTCCCGGGCGCTGAAGCCCTGAAGCTTCGCGACTTCGATTTCTGTCTTGGGGCGATTGGCATGGGATCCTCGGAGTGCCTTCTTTTGCCCAGGAAATTCATGCGGCGCATCCCCAATCGAGATTGCAAGGGCGGTGGGTGCGCCGGACTTTGCAACTTGGTGTTGTTGGTCTGGTCTTCCTTATCACCCTCTTGAGTACCGTGGTTCGGGGTTGGGGATTGAAGGTTCGGGATTTAGGCTTGGTATTTTCTCGCCGCCAGCTGCTAGGTTACTACGTTTCGCGGCCTTCAGAATTCACTTCCCTGGCACTTGCGCCATACCTACTGCCCCTACAATCAACCTGTACCCCTCCCGAACCCCTGAAGCAGTGCACTCTTTTAAAGGGCTACTCTGAAACGGAAGCACAAAAGGAAGCACTAAACCCTCAATTTTGCTGCTGTACTGTATTGAGTCTAGATGCTTAAACTTTCACCTTATGTAAGTTGAAGCCGGATAATCAGGGTTCATTGCAGGCTCTGCGTGGGGCAATAGTGTTGCAAGGGATATTGAAAGGATCAATCTCCCGTCAGGGTGGGGGGGGGGGGTTGTGTGGCAAGCATCATGTCCTAAAGAGTCTAGGTTTTGCGCTGCATCTTTGCCTCCTACGTAGGTTCCAGGGCTTTGGGAACCACTCTGTTTTTTTTTTNNACCCTAAACCCTAAAGTCTAAACCGTGGCCATGGATCATCTCTTCCTGACGCTCTGCACTTTGCGTCTGTAGCCATAATAATTTCGTCGGTTTGCCACTCATCACCCTAAACCCTAGGCCCGGGACCTCACTGGCAGGAGAGTAAGTCACTCTTACTCTTACTGGTCTGGGGATTTTTTATATGTCTTCAGGATCCTTAACCCTAAACCCTATAAACCCTAACTTAACAAACCCGAGGGCCCCCCCCTAAATCCCGAAACCGAAAGCCCACAGCCAAACAGGGAAGCCTCGAAGCCCCTATGGAGCCCCTCATCCTCTCCTCCCAAGTTAAACGCCCATATCGGCACCTCATACACTCAAACAACAGTTTTTAAGAGAAGCCCTATATAAGCCCAGGAGCCTAACCTAAGTCTGAATACTCGGATCCCGATTACAAGCTGCTATTATAGCGGAGCGGTTTCATCAATCATGCCGCGTGGTCGACATGAACTAAGTCCGCCAAAACCCCAACCCCTAAACCCTAA